CCCCTGGAGGGTGAATTCTAGTTTTCTGTCTCTTGTTTCCCTAATAAGCACATGTGCCCTATAACAAAAAAATTAAAAAAATAAAAAATTTTACAAAGCTCTCTCAAAAACAAAGAAAGAAAAAGATTCATGAGAATCATTGTGATTATCAGAATTCTTTGAAGACCACAAACTTAGAGCAGTACTGAAAATAGCACATACATGTATGTGTAACATCACATGCTAGCAGGTGGAAAAAATTAAGTTAGTATATACGAGAGTGAATTATCTTTGTATTCTCTCTATAACAATGACATTAGAAATGTGTGGTCATATGAAGAGGCAATCACATATATGAAGTCAAGAACTATATGAATAAATTGGGGGCCAGCAGTTAGCATAATGGCTATGTCGCTGGACTCCCATGTAGTCGACCGCAGTTCACGTCCCGGACCTGGTGACTTAAACTCACACTGGGCGCATGTGCGTGCATGCCCAAGATCCCGAGAGGAGAATGGAGGAGAAGGGATTGCTGCGTGGTCATCCCCCCTGGGGGGTGCTGTCTCTCTGTCTCTCTCTGTCTGTCTGGCAAGTGCACATACCCTATAGCAAAAACCTCTCCAAAAAAAAAAAAAGAAAGAAAGAAAAGAAATTAGATAATTATTAAGAAATTAGATATGATGGCAAAGAAAATTCAGGTAACTGATACTTCTGATACTGAGAAAAAAGAAATATTGTACCCTGAAAAGTGATATGAGAAAATTAAGCACAGTGCTCTGTAATTTTCCTTTCACTTTTACTTGAATCCCACCTAACTTCAAAAATTTTCTAATCTGATTTCAGTTCTTGGGTTTCTTTATTTTGTTTGTGTTTATTACTCTAAAAAATTCAAAATAATGGTTATAGTTTTAGGAAATACAAAAGAGGAAAGATAAATACATGTGGCATAAGCTGTAGGAGTCATTAATAGCCACTTGCATGTAAGACCATAAGAAATTAAGAAATTCTTAATTTCTACTAAGAATAGAAATTATCCTCTATTTATTATATTGTTACATATTTCTACGTATTTTTTCACTATATTCAGGTAGAAGTACTATATAATAATGTAAGCGACTGTATTTTTAATATGTTTACATTTGTAACTTTTAAATAAGACAGCTATAAACTTTTTAATTAATGATTCCTTTTGTTTATGATCATTTCTTTAGAGGATCTTCTTATGAGATAAATTACAGTGTTGAAGGAAATAAATTTTAAAGTTTTTATTATAAGGCCAGCTCCATGGCTTGCTGGTTAAAGCAGCTGGATCCCATATGGCCAACCATGTAGTTCGAGTCTTAGACCCAGAGGCTTGAGAAATATTCCAGGTACTGGGCATGTGTGCCCAATTTTCTAAAAGGAGGAGAAGGATCGTGGTGTGACCACATTTCCCACGGGGATGCTTCCTCTGCTCTTTCTCTGGAGAGAGCACACACCCTCTAGCAAAATGAAAATAAAAAACTTTTATTATGTATTTCCAAATTAGTCTCCAAAAATTATCAGTTGCTCATGTTACCATTAATACATAAAAAACTCCCCCCACACTATTTCCATCTTTTCATCATTAGTTATCATTAGTTTTGATTTTTATCAGTTTGACAGATGGAAAAATAGTTTATTTTTCCACTTTGAATTTCTTTGATTACTCAGTCTGTATGTATCTTCTATGTAGCTGTTTTTCTCATGGATATTTCTAAAAGGAAATGTACTCTATGAAGCATATATGAATAATAGAACCATGATTTTATATATTGCTGAATCTCTCCATTGACTTTGATATTTATATGGCTAAATATTTTAAATGTTTGTTGGGGTTTATTATTTTAAAGTATTTTATTATATACTCTCTCTCTCTCTTTTTTTTTTGGAGAGATTTTTGCTATATGGCACATGTGTTCCCCAGAAAGACAAAGAGAGACAGAGAGATAGAAAGCAAGTAATCACCCTCTGGGAGGATGGCCACGCTGCAATCCCTTCTCCTCCATTCTCCTCTTGGGATCTCGGGCACACACATACATGTGCCTTGCGTGAGTTTAAGCCACCGAGTCCAGGCCTCGAACCATGGTCAGCTACATGAGAGTCCAGCGACATAGCCATTACGCTAACTGCTGGTCCCTATCATATATTCTTGAAGGTCTGCTGAGTATATCATGGGGTGAACACCCACTAGAGTCTTTCTCCCTCACACACACAAGAAATATATACATAAGCTTAAAAAAAATTTAAATGACGCATCTGCATTAAGTAAAAGCCAGATAGAAATCAATAATCCTAAAAAAAATATACAAAAACATGCCATGCTCAAACTACTAAAAATCAACAATTAAAACTGTCTCAAAAGCAGCCAGATATCCTCTCCCCAAAAGACACATTACATAAAGAAGAACAAAAAGAATGAAAGCAAACTTCTTCTTAATAATTATTCATGCTAGAAGATGAAAGAGCATACTTTTAAAGAAAATGATACAATCAGATTATATGATTATTAATCTCTTTGGCATTTTTATGCCTAAACTCTAGTTAATAAAATAAGTACTTTGGAGGGGCTAGCAGGTGGTGTGGTGGTTAAGGCTCTGGACTCCTACATGGCCAACCATGGTTTGAGTCCCGGACCTGGCAGCTTGAAAATCATTCCGGGATGCCCAAAATACCAGGAAGAGAATTGATGAGAAGAGGTTGTGGCATGGTCATCCTCCTGGGGGATGGGGGGGGGTGGATTTTCACTTTCCCTTTTTCTGTATCTCTCCAGTTAGCACGTGTCCTACAGCAAAAACCTTCAAAAACAAAACAACAGCAAAATTTTGGTTTACTTCATCTTTCTCATGAGTTTCATTAATGATTCTGTTCACCAATCAGAGGTCTCTTGGTTAAAATGATTAAATGAAAACCACAAACTGGCCAAACTAAAATGAGCCGGTGAGCCTAACTATCCTGCCAGATACAAAAACATGCCATGCTCAAACTACTAAAAATCAACAATTAAAACTGTCTCAAAAGCAGCCAGATATCCTCTCCCCAAAAGACACATTACATAAAGAAGAACAAAAAGAATGAAAGCAAACTTCTTCTTAATAATTATTCATGCTAGAAGATGAAAGAGCATACTTTTAAAGAAAATGATACAATCAGATTATATGATTATTAATCTCTTTGGCATTTTTATGCCTAAACTCTAGTTAATAAAATAAGTACTTTGGAGGGGCTAGCAGGTGGTGTGGTGGTTAAGGCTCTGGACTCCTACATGGCCAACCATGGTTTGAGTCCCGGACCTGGCAGCTTGAAAATCATTCCGGGATGCCCAAAATACCAGGAAGAGAATTGATGAGAAGAGGTTGTGGCATGGTATCCTCCTGGGGGATGGGGGGGGGGTGGATTTTCACTTTCCCTTTTTCTGTATCTCTCCAGTTAGCACGTGTCCTACAGCAAAAACCTTCAAAAACAAAACAACAGCAAAATTTTGGTTTACTTCATCTTTCTCATGAGTTTCATTAATGATTCTGTTCACCAATCAGAGGTCTCTTGGTTAAAATGATTAAATGAAAACCACAAACTGGCCAAACTAAAATGAGCCGGTGAGCCTAACTATCCTGCCAATGAAGATCTCGTGGGTCTTGTCTGAGAAATGTTCCATCCTTCCTCCTCCTTTCCATTCTCTTAACTACAGAATCAGTGAACAGATAACCAGAGGTAGGATTTCCCCTTGTGAATACTATAGCTTAATACGTGTTGGATGTCCCCATAAATGTTCTCTGGGGTATTTATTGGATTACTTCATGAATTAATTTGCTGCCTGTGCTACCTGCCTAGTGAAATAAGAGTTTAATTGCAGAGAGTCTCACAGATAAATGGACAAAGGCACGGATCTTCTGTTCTTTCCCTTTGTACCAAAGATAGGAGCTGTGGGACCAGTATTTTCCCTCCACAAGGTTTTTGGCCACCTTTGCTGGTATAACATCACATGCAAACTACATCCAAAGCTTCCTCATGAAACCACAGCTACTGTGGATTGCTCTCCTTCCACTACCTCCTCTGCTTGCCCTTATTACCGCGCAGAGTTTTATGTACTATTCAGCCTTAAATAAGAAGAATGTCATGTCATTTGTAATAACAGGGGTGGTGAGGTTTTTGCATCTATATTCATGATTGGGATCAAAAGGGAAAATGGTTTCACCCACCTAGCAGAGTCATGGATGCCATGTTACACTCTGTGTAATACTGTTCAAGATCTCCTCTCTTTAAGCAGCTTACTTTACACCTACTACCCTACAAGTTAGGGTTTTGTAGGAGGTTCTAAAAGTGTGTGCAGCCAAAACTACATAAGTCTTCAAAAAGTTCATGGAAAATACATATTTTATAAATGTTATGCATGTATTCTAATTGCATTGCACTGAAATAAACTCATCCTCTAATTTTATTTTTTCCACTAAATTTTTTTAAGTTCCTTTGTACAATAGACAATGCACTGAGTATGGACATACCTTGCAGGGAAATAAAAATGATTTTGCAAAAATATCTTTCTTTCGATCTACAGAGAAACTTTAAGTCCAAAATGCCTATGTAATTAGCTTAAAGTCACAAATCAAGTAAGAAATTAAAGAGTGAAGATGCTGGCAGGTTTTGAAAGAAATACTGGAATTTGCATTAATGGCTTTATGTTCTGACCATTAAACCTCTATCTTTCTCTAGCCCTACCCATAGAAATACACCTCTGCTTGTTATTTGACAGTGCGTATACACTGTACACATCCTAAATCAGATGGTGGACAGATTTCCTTGTAGGGCTCCATGTTGCTTTCTGAGTAGCAGTGGACTGTTAGAGGAAGGTGGGAGTTTCTCAAGCAAACAAAAGAAATAGTTGGAAAGATGTTCACTGAGGCCATGAAGCCAGGCCTCCAGAAAATTAAGTCTTTATTTCTAAACTCTTTTGGGAGTTTGGCAAGAATACACAGTGCTCCTTGATAGAGATGATGTGGGTGGTGGCTGCAGCGGGGCAGAGCTGCATGTCAGCATGCTGATTCAGTGGAAGCACACAGCTCTGCCAGGACGAAGCAGGCAGAATGGAGGCTGCTGGTTCCAGGGTGAAGCTGGAGTCAGGTACTGGAAATTTCCTCTACCCCTTGATAGGGCAAGAAACTAGCCCAGGCCTCCTTTTGTAGTAATTGCTTGCCGAGTTCTTGAGTGGCTCAAGTGAATAGGTTTTTTTTGTTTTTGTTTTTGTTTTTTTTTTACTTTCTTTTCACTGAACAAAGAATTAGTCTAATTCTTATCCCTTCCAATGGTGAAGGTCAAAGAAAGGGATGAAATGTGGGCAGTCACTTAAACAAGTAAACATGGCTGGACTTATTAGTCAATTGGCAGACATTTTGTCCTCATGTGCATAAAACTCACCTCACTAGGCTTTGTAGCAATTCTTGATCCCAAAGTAATGTATTTTTTGGTCTACTTATCCAGTCAGAATTAGCCATACACTTCAAGACCTGACCTAACAAAATTTCTGAACTCTTATTTTTTCCATATCACCCTTTACCATCAAGTTTTTTTTTTCTTTTTTTGGAGAGGTTTTTGCTATAGGGCATGTGCGCTCGCCAGACAGACAGAGAGAGACAGAGAGACATAAAGCGAGAAATCACCCCCCAGGGGGGATGGCCATGCCACAATCCCTTCTCCTTCATTCTCCTCTTCGGATCTTGGGCACGCACGCACACGCACCTGGCGTGATTCCAAGCCACCGGGTCTGAGACTCGAACCACAGTCAACTACGTGGGAGTCCAGCGACATAGCCATTATGCTAACTGCTGGTCCCACCATCAAGTTTTGAAGAGTTCCTAAGTTGTGAGGGGAATGCCACTGGTAAAGACCTTCCTTTTCTCAATTCTCCTCCATTTGGTGATTCTTATGTTCAACAAATACTGTATCTTCTCTTCAGCTCCCAGAAGCAGAGCCAAGGTAAAGTTCCATGGATAAAATTTATGTGAGCAAGTGATTCATCACCTAAAGTTACGGTAAGTTTAGAATTCAGATCTAAAATGGGTAGTACTAATCAAAGTTGTCGAATTTTCTCCTGCCTGGTAATAGAAGCTGCTTAATTCCTTATCAGAAATATTAAGTGTAGCAATAACTGTGACTACATTATAGTATGAAAACCACTTAGTAAATGCAGATACCTACATATATATGTATATATTACATATTACATATGTATATGTGTGTGTGTATGTTTACTAAGCAGTATGTGTCTGTGCATGCGTGTGTATGTGTGTGTGTGTGTGTATCTAGGAACCAAATATATACCCAAATACATTTAATAATGAATTATATTGATCAAACCATTTGAAGCTTCTAATGCAATATAAATGCTTGCATTACTTTATTCAATCATTATATATAATGCTTTATTATGTCTTAGGCATATTATGAAGCTCTGAAGACAAATCAAAGATGTATCTTCTTCCTATCCTGAGGGATTTTACTTGCTACTTTCATTTAATGATATCTTTGAATTCAAATCACTGCTTTTTCTCATTTTCTCCTAAATAAAATTGGCAACACAGTTTTAGTTTAATTCGGGATGAGCATTTTCTGCAATATGTTAGACTAATAAGGCACCCTGAAAAAACTTCCTGAAAAGAACTGAAATATTCTATATGTGTTTTTATGTGCTTTCACATATTTAGAATCATTTAAGTGCATCAAAAATTGGCCAAAAAAGTATGTAACATGCCAAAGCCAAAACGAAGTGCTATGGGAAGACGGGAGATAGCAGGAGCATAAGGCAGCTTAGACCTTGAGGAATCTGCTGAGCCCCGGAAGGCATAGAAGGAAGTGTACAAAACCTAAGGTGGAAAGTCAGATTACGTTCCACACATAAAGCTGAAACTCCCTTGAGTTACAATTTCCTCCTAGGAGTGGGTAGCAAAAAAAAAATTAATAAATAAAAAAATTTTAAAAATCTCTTTTTACTTGGGCACTGAGTGGAAATAATATTTCAGAATTAGGAACACAAAAAACTCCAGGTATTAAAATCCTCACATGCTAGATATAAAATAAGAATGTTTGATATACTTCCAAAAGAAGGGTCTAAAATATATGCAAGACATAAGAGGCTATAAAAAACTCAAGAAAATTTGAAAACTAAAATGACAATAAGCTACGTTAAACAATAAATGAGTTTAAACATTGGATTAGAAAGAGGTAAAGAGACTTGGATCAGCAGATTGCATAATGGTTAGATCACTGGACTCCCATGTAGCTAACTGAGGTTCAAATCCTGGACCCGGTGGCTTAAAACTCACACTGGTTGTGTGTGTGTGCATTCCCAAAATCCCTAGAGGAGAACAGAGTAGAAGAAACTGTGGTGTGGCCATCCCACTGGGGAGTGATTTCTTGCTTTCTATCTCTGTACCTCCAGTGAGGACACATGCCCTATAGCAAAACATCTCTCTTAAAAAAAAAAAAAAAAAAAAAGGGAAAAAGAGGAAAAAAAAATAACTCC